ATATATATATATATATATATATATATATGTGTGTGTGTGTGTGTGTAAATAGTATGTCGGGGTTAAAATTTTTACCGATTATTCCATGCACTTACGACGTCACAACTATTTTGCACATCTTAGGATTACCTGCAACTACTCGAGTAGGAACGGGTTTAATAATAGAACGCAAATTGATACTCCGTTCAACAACATTGTATTTTAAGCTTTATAGGTTCAGAAAAATTATAAGTGTTTCATTAGAGTGCACTTATTCTATAGATAAGCACACATAGTCCATGTAATGCAATAGCGAAGTTGGCTGGATGCATTAGTGCGTACTAGCACACTTAAGGCTGTCATACGCAAATCGATGTAAAGGAATACGCATAGAGTGCCAAGTGGATTCAACAATTGGCAATTTTCTCTCTGCCTCTCTCTCTCTTTCTCTCTTTGCGCGAGATACTCATGGTCGGAATATTGCGTTTGGTATATATTCTATGATTACACCAATTTTTTGTCAATAAAATGCTTATATTACGTTTTTAGGCGGATTACTCTGCAGCGCATCCAATCAAATTCGTTATAAAACACACGTTACGATCGTATAACGAATATGGTATACATAACTATTAGACAGCATAATTCACAGGAGTATACTTCATTTCATCCTTCATTTTTATACGTGCAACTTAAAGATAAAACAAAGCAATAGAATTTTATGTTTTGATAAACGGTACCGCGATATTTTTTATATGCTTTAATCACAGATGGATCCAATTTACCTTACAAATGCATCTGACAGGACGACCGTACTGTATCATCACCTTGGACTTTGTATGCGTGGATAAATTTTTTTTTTACCAAAGCTTATTGATTGGAAAATATAAAACCCCATATTATACTTTACTATACTACAAATACAATGCTTATTTTGCCGCACGTACTATAATGATATCACTGCATTGAAAGTACTGTTTTATCTTTGTATTTCATGTTTCTCTGTGCTGATATCATAAAAGTTCTTTTAACACAAAAATGGAGATGCTTGCAAATTGTTTTACATCGAGACATACATATGTATGTATAAACACATTTCCTTTTTGTTTAGTCTAAAATTTAGATTTTTCTTGGTGTGTGCTGACTTTTTTTTTACAGTATACCAGCTATCTCTCCGTCTTACAATATCTAGTCTAGTCACTGAATATTAAGACGTTATCAACGTGCAATTGTACGAGGGGTGAACGTTCTTACATATATACAATTCACGATCACGTATTAAACGTACAATATGCACAACGTGCAAATTCGACGCCGTGCCATGATATTTCATTAGCATATGCGCAAGATGATATTCATTTTCACTTATCAAGTTCCAGAGCGGCGTATTGCTCCTCGTCCACCTCGGTCATCATTAAATTACCATCCGGTAACAGAAGCACTACCCTCCTGGTTCCTCCTGAAAGGAAGAGAAATCAGACGGCGATTGGACAGGGCGGGTCAGGAGAAGGGAAAGGGGAGATGTATTAAATATTTCATTCCATCCGTATACAGGGGTTTCCGATAATTTTGCTGAAAGCTATTACCGTATACATTGTTCATATTTCACTAGGAGCAATTTGAGCAAAAATTTTGGAACCTAACCTTCACTTGAAACTAAAGAGACGCAACCAAAAGACTATTACCTGGAGTTGGTTCTTCAGCTTGTACCACTTGAGCTATAACTTGTGCCTGTCCGTCGTTATCCTCTTGGGTCCCAGTTACATCGGTCGTATTCGCGTTATCCATTATAGACATGACCATTGAATTTTCAGTCGATTCCGCTCCATCCTCCTTCACGTAAAACTGGGGCGTGAGATTTACTTGATCGGGGATCAGCTGCGCTACAGCCTCGGCAACTGCGTGATCCAATGTCAGGACTGAGCCGTCGTCTCCTTGTTGCTCGGTGGTAACGTATACACATTGTTGCTCGCCATCGGCACCATGTGTCACGAGGAGAGTCTGTCCATCCTCGGCTTGGCCCGCGACTTGATAGACGACGCCATGCTCGGCTATAGTAACCAGATTGGACGCATCGTCCGTCGTTACTTTTCTCTCTTCCGATATCTTTTCTTCGTTCTTGACGTCTGTCGATGTCACTGACATAGTAACAGATGTAGATGTTGCCGGAACTGTCGACAATGCCGTAGTAATAATGGACGTTTCAGCGGAGCTAGAAGCGACTGTTTCTGCCAAAGGTGTTGCTGTGGATATGGGAGTAGCGGTCGCCGTTACTGTAGAAGCGGTATCGTCCAAACAAGGTAAATCCGGCGCAGGTATCGTCACATTCGACAGATTGATCTGTGCTGTATCACTGGCTTGGACAATGGTACCGGTCGTTCCACCGGGACTCATCTCAACCCTCATAATACCACCGCTTTCGGTGAGCGAGTCGAGAGAGGGTAGGACCAATTCGGCGGCGGCGGCGGCGGCGGCAGCGGTCGTCGTTGTAGTGCTGGCGGTGGCGGTGGCGGTGGCGGTGGCGGTGGTGACGGCGGCGGCAATGGTGGTGGCGATACTGGTGCTGGTAGTAATGATAGTATTAGTATTGACGTTGGCGTCGACAGTTGCAGCCGTGGCGTCTGTTGCCATAGTTTCGGACGTGTTGCTAGCTGTTCTCGCTGTGGTCGAATTTGTTGTTGCTTCAGCGGGTTCGGACTCGCCCGGTTGTTCAATCGGTTCACCGTCCGGACCAATTATACGTCCCGTGAGAGGACATAACGTGAACGGACGCGGTGGACTGTCGGGTTCTGGAGCCGTAATGACATCTGGTTCGGGAGGAGGGGGAAGATCCGACTCGCCCTCGCTACTGCTTTCTTCCGAGCCAACTTCGTGGAATTCCATGTGAAGTCCATCACCTTCCGCTAATTTGCTTTCCTTTGGAGGTTTGGTTCCCGCCTGAGCGATTGCCGAAGGTGTTTCGGTACCTACTTTTGCTCTGCCTCGTCCTGCAACGGCACGAGCACCCGCCAAAAGTCCACGACCACCCGGTTTAATTATACCTGCTGCCTCTTGGGCCTTTCTCTTTGCCATTAATAACTTTTGCTGCGGAGATAACAATGACTGTGCCTTACCCACTGGTGTTTTCGGAGTCGGTTTTGTTTGTTGTTGTTGCTGTTGCTGCTGCTGTTGTTGTTGTTGTTGTACTGGACTAGTAGCAGTTTTGATCGGTTGTTTGGGTTGCGGAGGTGTTGCGAGCACTGTGAATTTTGGCTTGATTTGCGTGACCGTACCGGCAGCAACCGGCGAAACGGCCTGCTGCGCACTTACGACCGTCGTCATACGCTTCTGCAACACCGGACGCGTCACTTGCGTCTGTATCTGTCTTGGTGCCGGTGCTCTGACGGGTGTACGAATTGTACCGAGAACGCTCGTTGCCGCCGTTGGACGCAATGCTGGTCTGGGTAACAAAGGACGACCGTCTGCCGTTCGCTGAGGTGTGACTGGGGCAGGTCTTATTCCTGTTGTTATTCTCGGTTGCAAGGTTATCGGTGCCGGCACCGCAGTCACAACATGTATCTGTTGCAGTTGCGACGGATCCGGTTTCGGCTGTATCTTTATAGGCTCGCTCTTTTGCGCGCTGCAAATTTTCGGTGTAACGGCCTTAGAGGTGACTACCTTCATCTGCGTTACCACTTGGCTTCCGTCCATCTTTGAAACAACTTTAACAGGAGTCATCGAATTGGACTGCGACGTCGAGATCACCTGTTTTCTCATTACGCTCGCGTTATCTCGATTTTGAACCATTACAACACCTTGCGTCGTTGGAGATCCTTTGACCGCTAGTTTTCCACTGGGAGACGAATTCAATTTGATAATACCGTCTTTTCGCGACATAACGTAAAGACCAGAAGCCAAATTTGGCATTTGTTTGGGATCGACTTTAACAACCCCCTTGGCGTTAGCCACCAGAACAGGCGGCTGGCTAGATTTCCCGTCTGGAGATTGTAATCCTAACGACGTTGCCAGGTCAGTGGACGAAACCGAGGCTCTGTTAGAACCATTGGCCTGCGCATTAGCGCGATTGAATGCACGTTGAATTACGTCGCTACGGCCCATTAGTCTTTCGTCTTCGGACTCCCCGGTCCACTCGTCATCACTGCCCGTGTCACCTTTTATCCTCTTTGTGGCACTGCTTCCACCTTCTTCCGAATCACTCTCCGAGTCATCGATCCTCCTTTTACCTAATACTACAAGAATCACATACGAGTATTAATTGAAACAGCATATATTTGCACAATTATATAAATATATCAATATTATATATCAATGTAATATATTACATTATATATACAGGGTGTCACTTAATTCGCGCCCATTATTTACACAGCGATATTCCTTATAAAAAATTGAGTCAAAAAGTCCTGAACCATCTTTTTCTACAATGCTTAATAAAGCAGTAATTATTGAGTAAAGTCAATCCACTCAGTGCCGCGCTTTAGCCGGCCGTACGTCAGTGAGCCGCGCGTCTGGTAGTATGCATGAGTGCACACTGATGTACGCCCGGCTAAAAGACAGCGCTGATTAGAATGACTTACATTGTAGAAAAAAAATGGCTCAGGACTTTTTGACTCAATTTTTTATAAGGAATATCGCTGTGTAAATAGTGGGCGCGCATTAGGTGTGACACCCTGTCTATATATATCTGTACCTTAGAGGTAAAGGATCGTACGTCCATTTTTGTACATTCAGAGAAAACAAGGTTTAAAAGTTTTTAAATAGGAAAATGATGTTTCTTTTAGATATAAAGTAAAAGTAACTTGATTTATCAAGTTTTTAATAAAACAATTTAACTGATATGTTTAATAGTACTACTGCCAATAACACATTGTACCTGGTTTAAAAATTAGGCACTATAAAAATTTTCAATACAATTTTCTAAACATTTTATCTTAAGAACTAGTCATAATAGACATAAGACGTTTTACCATTATACAATTTAAGCTCCGGTTATATTGAAAAATGTATCAACTCCATTTTGACAAAAACTGGAGATACGATTCTTTATCTCTAACGTACACACGCACACATATATCAATTGCGATACGTCATATTACACGTGAGTTATTCAAACAGAATACACATACGTTCGTTATCCTCATCTTTCATCGAGCCACACCATTGCTTGACTTGATCCATCGCTTTTGATTTACTAGACCGCATCGGACGTCTACATGTACGCAACAATTATCGCATTGAGTATTATCGCAGTGATTTACAGAGTAAAATGTTACATAATGACATTATTAATATATTTTTTTTTTTTAAAGCAAAGTCACTCACCCTACTTGAGTCGCCGTACTCGGTCCAGGTTTGCTAGCCTCAGCTTTTATCACTGATTTTTGCGCTGGCAAACTCGTACGTCCGACAACTCTCGTATTGGCTTGCTGTTGCGCCGCTTTAGTCTCCTTTTGCTTAGCGAGACTCCGCTCAAATTCTTCAAACATATTTTTGCAGGTTGCTACAGACTCTACAGACTCCCATGTATTGTTCTCGCTAAATAAATTTTGAATGTTTTAAAACATATTGCTAGAACTCTTGAGAAGAGATATATGCGATTAAGAGAGAATACCTACTGTGAATAGCCTTCCCATTTAATTAAATATTCCGAGCACTTCTTTCTCGGATTAAAGCGTTTGGCTAAAATTTTCTCAACGTTATATTCTTCGTTACTCAAGTCTGCATCTTCTTCGGTAGCTGTCTTGCCAGACTTGTTCTGCAGAAATATTAAAATAACTGAAGCAAATTCTCAAAAGTATACTTTGCCAAACGTGCAAACGTGAAAAAATGTCAAATAACGTAATACCTTGGGCTTGATCGATGGTTTCAGTCTTGGCTTTTCTTTCTTATCCACTTCAATCTCCATAGATTCACTCTTCTGCGTTTTTGTTTCCAGTGATTTTGCAATATCCTTCTTAGCTTCCCCCGTTTCCTCCGGCTGTCCATTTCTGACAACTTTACGAACTATTATCGGTTTGGCACCTGTAAAGCAGCGAGAGAGCATAGACGGTGTTAAGTTTAGTCTTATTTATGAAAGTAGCATTTTTCTTTTCTTTGTTTTACACGCAGAGTTTTTATCTCTTAAAAGACTATCACCTTCGACATTAATATTCGATTGAATTTGTATCGGGGTATCCTGCATCGTTGCATTACTGATTTTCGTAAAGGTTTGTATAGTTTTCCCTGCAGTGATCCACGACTCCTTCACGTTTGTATCCATATTACACCATTTTTGGTATAACTTCCAATTGTGAGCTGTATTCTTGTCCGAACATTTTCTTTCATCTTGTTGAAATTGCGTATCTTTCCATAATAGAAATGCCCATACTTGTGCTTTTGAATTCTACAAACATACAAAGGAAAGTTTCATAACACGTTCCTACAAAGCGGCACAACCATATCGCATGAAGAATCTAAAGATACAAACTTTTTTTGTTTCTTCGATTAGATGTGACACTTTGGAGCAGGCTCCCTCCTTTGTACGATGTTCTTGAAACTCTTCGATAAAATGAAAGACAGAATGACACTGTCCACATACCAATACGTCTAACTGTCCCATTTCCTCTTGTGCCGCTGATGAAGTAGAAAAGAAATTGAAAGCAAAATGAAAGCAATTAGATCGAGTGAGAAATATATATGTATATATAATATTGTACATGTACACAATTTTGTGTGTGTGTGTGTACACAGACGAAGTCAAGTCAAAAAGTCCTTTACCACTTTTCCTTCCGACAAACAATTATCGAGATACCGTAAACTAAATATTGAAAAAATTACCAAGTTTTCCTTGAATATCTCAAAAAGTATAAGGCAAATAAAAAAATGTTTCAGACAAAAGTTGTTCAAATTGGTAAAAAAAATATAATAAAAAATAAAGGTTTATATTTAAAAAATTTAGCCGGTAAACTCTCCAATTTCTATCTGAAACAATTTTCCAATAAACCAATACTTTCTAAGATAATTAATTAATGGAGATGATTGGCACACGAAATAAAATTCACCCTGTATATATGCAGGGTGTTTCAAATCAGGTCAATAAAATTTCAGGGTCTTGTAGAAAATTGAATTTAGAACAAAAAAGTTCCTATAAAGATAGGTTCGAAAACGCTTCGTTGAAAATTTACAGCTAATAAACTTGGAAAAAAAAAAAAATCGTTTTTTATTACTATTAAAAATAACCCTTCAAAACTCTTCATTTATTGAAAGATGAAGAAAGTAACCGGAAATAAATCTGATGGGTAATTAAATAATGAACTAAATTACACCAATTTTATTTTATTGTGACAAGGCGTTCGCAAAAGGAAATGAGCTCAAAATAACGAAAAAAAGCAGAAACTTGGAGCACGCTTTTAATGATCTTTATGTAAAGATTACATTAGCTATTACGTGTACACTAAAGCAAGCGCTTTCGTTTTATTTAATTATTTATTTTCAAAAATTATCAAATAAATGTGATTTTCACAATTTTTATTAGCTATACATAGCTTTTTAACCAAATGTTTCCAGACCTGTGTTTATATTACATTATAGGAACTTTTTTATTCCAAATTGAATTTTTTATAGAACCCTGAAGTTTCATCGACTTGACACGGAACGCCCTGTATAATTACATTGTACACCTTTATGAAACAAAAATCTTGCCTCACGTTCTTGCTTGGAAAAAAAGTCGAATCGGTTTCCAAGATCAGTTAACGAGACAAGGTAATACATAAATCCAAATGTACACGACGCGTACCTTTGATGATGGTGGGTTTATTACCGATGGCTGAAGGGCCATCGTCTCCTTCCATTCTGTATACTGTGTACTCGCGCTCTCTTCTGAAAATTAAACAACAGCTTGGTTAGTTAAGTACTGCCATTAGCAGATGTGACAGAAAGAAAGAGAGTGAAGGGAGGGAAAACGACTGAAGATCACAGACCACACTTGGCCGCGCAGGCCGTGTGAAAACGGTAAAAGCGATCACCCTACCGGGTCTGGACCCTACCGCACATCTGGACCAAGTCTATGCGCTCCGCGCTCCGCAACGAGAATCGAAGCGCACGCCCGCGCCGCGCACAAGTTCAAGACCGTCTCATTGCTAACATTTAAATTAAGTGCATTCCCGCAAAGTGACAAGTGCAAGTGGCAAAGCGTCGAGTCGAGACTGTGCGGGCGACACGAGGTGTGTAAACGGGGCACGGGGCCAGTCGTGAACGCGGGAGCATGGACGAAGCCGACGAAGGGAGTAGACACACTCGACACGATTCGCGCGCGCGCGCGCGCGCGCGCTCACGCTCACGCTCGCTTGTTCCCGCCACCCGCCACGATTCGACGCGAGCCGTATGTACCTCACGTCTCACCGGTCTCACCTTACGACAAACGAGAAAATTATTTTTCACAAGAGACCGGTATCGTCGCCGGGCGCCGGCTACATTGGCGCCGTTTCCCTCAACGTTGTGTCGTCACCGCTACCTTCGTAATTGTCGTTGCCGTTATCGTCACTGCCGTTGCCGTCGCCGTCGCCGTCGCGACCGTCACTGTCGTCGTCGGCGTCGTAGCGTAGTAGTACTGTCGTCGTCGTCGCCGTCGCGGTGGTGTTGTCGATGCAGGCTCGAGGCTCGACCTGCTCGCCGTCTCCTCTCACTCCTCTCACTCCTCTGTCTCTCACAGTCTCTCACGAGCAAGCCGATGCTCGTCAAAGATGGCTCTCGTCGCCGATACTTCTCTACAAGCTACTCACTTCCTGTCTTTACGTGAACGCTTTCTGAACACCCCGTGGACGCGCGCGAACGCGCGTAACGTTACGGTCACAAACGCAAAAGCGAAACCTGCGATGCTCACTTACATACGGCGAACTCGACGAACGGCTAGATTTTCCTCAGCCCGGGAAATTGCTGGTCGTTGCGCGAGATAGAACGAAAACAGCGACCGTGAGCTACCGCGTCGGCCGACAGTGGCGCCATGGCCGCCATGGCGGCCGCCCGCTAGACGGCAGTGCCCGTCGCCCGACCCGCCTGCCCTCTAGTCTAGAGTCCAGAGTCTAGTGTCGCCTCTCGTCAGTCTCGTCACTCGTCACTCATCACTCATGTCAGTCGTCGGTCGTCGCAGTTGAGTTATCCCGCCGATCCCGCCGATCCCGCTTATCCAGAGACGTAGTGTGTATACATACATACGTACATTACATACAATATTTACCTTTACCGCTTTATCCGGCATGCTCCGAGGCGCCCACTGTTATCTGTTCTGATGTACATACTTCTGTTCTGTGTTCTGTCCTGCTACGCTGCCTGCATTGCACTCCTGCATTGCCTGTCACGGCTGCCTAATTGCCTATATACCTGCCAACCCGCTTCGACCTCGACCTCGACCTCGACCTCGACCTCGACGGAGCCGGAGCCAGAGCCGGAGCACGGATTCACCTTATCCACCACAACTCGCAGTGACGGCAGTGACGGCAGTGACCTACGCGATTCAGCTCCGAAACTTTGAATTTTCCCAGGTAGCTGATCGAGAACGGTTTATTATTCGCCTCTCGTCAATTTCAAATTTCGATCATCTCTTCTCACTCTTTGGAGATACCAGATACCGAGATACGTCATCTTCGCTAATCACTCCATTTTCTAAGTAGCGCAAATAGAAGTAGCGTCGTAAACTATACCGATGCGTGGATGGAGTACGGGCACGTAGCACGTGGGTGTCTGTCGGTCGCGGTCGGTCAGTCAGATATCAACTATCAACGTGAGAGTGATGAGCCTGTCCCTGGCCATTCCGAAAAGCCGGATTAGTCATTACGTTGCTACCGACTCGAATTTTGACAACCTTCTGTCTTGTCTATCTGCTTTAATCTCTCACGCGAGATTTCTTCTCCATTCTTCTCCCTTTTAAACTTCCTATTTGCGTCTTTCCTCTCTTTTATCCTTCAACACCTCACGTATCCATTTTACGTCGAATGTAGCATGCATGCAGCAGCGCTACGGCTACGAATGGCACAAATCTATCTCATTACTTTTTTCTTATTCTTCGTGCCTAAGCCTAAGACTATCTGGCGATATTCTTTGAGGATAGGAGTTTGCACTAGTTTGCGCGGTTTAAACAAGTAGACACTTTTAGAGTGAGTCAACCACCAGTGTACGTGTACACGTCAATGTGGCTTATATCTTGACTTTTCATTATCTCTCATATTTCTAATGGTGATACCTTTTACTATGTGTAGAATATCTTGTCTCGACGAACAATGGCGGAGGAAGAATCCGAGGAAAAGGAGTATCGTTGGGAAACTGGTTACGAAAAGACTTGGTATGACGTTTACATTGGTTATATATACCTATATCTATAAACGTTTTTAATCTATCAGTGGCATTCCTTAACTAGTATAGATAAAAGTTTCATGTCTCGTATCGATCGGCTAACATAGCCGAACATAGATCTGTAACGTTTGGTTACTTGCTTGGGATTTATAGGGAAGCGATCAAGGAGGATGACCACGGCTTGTTGGAAGCTTCTGTCGCAGACATTATCCACAATGCTAAGAGAAAACGTCAGTTGGAAAGGAAACAGGGTGCCAGATTAGGAATGATGAGACATCTCTATATTGTCTTAGATGCTTCCGAATCAATGTCGAGTCAAGATTTAAAGCCAACTCGTTTTCTGTGTTCTCTAAAGGTATAATGATGGAATACGCGATAAGTATAATATATACATGTTCACGGGTATATATTTATTAAATACGTGTGTCTCAAGCTTCTAGAAGATTTTATCGAAGAATTCTTCTATCAAAATCCTATAAGTCAATTGGGTGTAATTATAACTAGAAATAAAAGGGCTGAGAAAGTTAGCGCGTTGACTGGTAATTCAAAGAAGCACGTTAAGGTAATATTATAACGTTTTGTTACTTTATCCTCATTCTGAATATTTCGCATCGCTCAATCTTATCGTCTATTTTGTAGGACGTGCAAACGTTGCAACAAACTGTAGTAGGCGGTGAACCTTCTTTGCAAAACTCTTTGGAATTGGCCACAAAGTTATTGAACGTATTGCCGTCTCACGCTAGTAAAGAAATATTGGTAATCATAGGGGCCTTAACTACGTGCGACCCTGGAGACATCAACGAAACGATACGAGTATGCTCTTTGTTGCTCTTTGTGTGGCGTATGTGTAATGTCCTTCGAAAATATACTATGTATCTTTCTCAATATCGAGTTTGTTTTAGAACATGAAATTGGACAGTATTAGATGTAGCGTAATAGGATTGGCCGCTGAATTATACATTTGTAAACGAATGGCAAACATCACCGGTGGCGAACACAGCGTTGCGCTCGATGATAAACATTATAAGGAGCAATTGAACGCACATGTAGATCCTCCGCCTGCCGCAACGCGCGTAGATGCAGCGCTCGTGAAAATGGGATTTCCTCATCATGCTTTACATTCTAGTGCGCCGGATACATCTATGACGGTGTGTATGTGGTAAGTGCGTAAAACATTCGGAATAACATGCTTCGTGTCATACGATACTTTATTAGTATTTTGATAAGACTTAAACGTTTTCTTCCTTTTTTCTTTACAGCCATGCACAAAATTCCGACGAAACGGTTAAACTTATGACTACTGGCTACCTTTGTCCCCAGTGCCTCAGTAAACATTGCGAACTCCCTGTGGAGTGTAGAGCTTGTGGTCTTACTTTAGTCTCTGCTCCACATTTAGCGCGGTCGTATCATTATCTATTTCCTGTGGATCTTTTCAAAGAACGTGCACCTGAGGGCGATCACTCTTTCTGCTTTGGTTGCCAGAAAACCTTTGCTCAAAAGGACAAAAAGGTAATCCTCCTATATATATATATATCTATTATTATAAAAGATTATTATAGAAAATTATTAAAGCTTGTGACAACGTGAACGAATGTTTATCAAAGACAAATATATTTTAAATCTGTCAAGACATCATGTATACTATGCACGTGAAAGAGGTGATATCAAGCAGTTCTGAATTACAATGTAGAGGAAATCAACATTTAGTTAATGTTTGAGCATTTCAGATACCAAGATTATATCACATGTATTTATTTCTAGGTATATACTTGCGGAAAGTGTAATCAAACGTTTTGTTTAGACTGTGAGATATTTATTCACGAGATATTGCACACGTGTCCTGGTTGTGCGATAAATCCTGAAACATATAGAAAGTCTACAGATAGATCTTAAAATTGTCTATTTAGTGTCAATTCTGCCATAAACACTGCCAAAGAGCAACCAAACGTGTATAATATATTATAATAATTAATTTTTTATTGTTTGCATATTAACATAATTAATTTAGTATTTGCAAATTATACGTCACCTCGTCATTCGTTTACAGATGTACACGTTAGCAATCAATCAATCTCAAACCTATTGTCTAATATCGTATTTTGAAACAAATTCTATATTAAAATAAAATGTTTAAATCACATATTGTAAATGTCAGTCCTTGTGATTACCAATATTTCTTTACTGGCGTGAAACAATTATAATTTTAATCGCTTTCGAACATAACCACGTCCAAGGACGTTTACATGGAAGATTCGCCGCAGTAAACTACAGGTTGTTATAATGCAAACAACAAGATTACAGTGATAACTATTAAATTGATTGTTATATGTTAGAATTGGAACTCGATAGACAAACTAGAAATATTATCTCTCGGTTCAAGTAGATATTAATTCAAGGTAAAAAACATTACGATAATTTATTCCAACTTGTGTGTGTATCGATCGAACAGAATTCATAACATTATAATATGGATATATATTCCAGTAAGTACACTTATTGATACGTAAGAAAATTTGTATGAATACGTATTTATGTGACATACGTGTGTATTTTGTATTTTAAACTCATTAAATACATTTTCATACGTAGAAAAAGAGAAAAATATTCTTTATATTTATGTATAAAAAGACCAGGATGGGCCATTTAATTAATTTACTCAAATATCTAAAAACTCGTAAGTTTTTTTTACAGTAAGAATAGTAAGAATAAGATAAATAGGCGTGCCAATGCTTTGATAAATCCAGTTAAAACGAAGTAAGATACATAATTTCGTGCAAAAGTGTTGAAAAATATCTTTTAAAAGTGAGAAAAAGAAATTTCAGGGGATCGTATACGTAATTTATATATATATATGTATCTCGAGAATGCGTAAATGTCCGAGTGTCTGACATGTGACTGGAAGTTTGCGACAACACAGCGATAGCGGCACAACGACGGCTCGTAATGCAACGTAAATGTCCTACTTCAATAATATAGTGGGGGAACATTGAAGCTTATTGTTACATAGACAGGTGGAAAGTGGGCATCGTGAAATTACAGTACGTTATTAATTTGCGCTCGTCCGTCGAAGCGATCAGTTCTCCTCGAGTACGATTGACGCTCCAGCACGTTGATTCACATTATTCGCTCTATGTCGGTAAAATTTAGTGTCATATGTGTGCATATTACATATAATATTCCCATTTTATACACATCTTCAAACTAAGGTAAGCTTGTTTAGTTAATAACATCGCGACAAGTATTTAATCATAATCTTAATGTCAGAGTAAATCTACTTAATTAATTGCTTGTTAATGGATGTGAAAGTGTCGTGGAGATCCTCGTACGTGGGAGTATTGATATAAACATTGTCACATATCCTGTGCATATGAATGTTTCGTGAACGTGTGTGTGTTGAAGAATAGCATGTCGAAGCTACAAGATCGAATATGCCTATTTACATCTGCACAACACGTAGTTAACACGGGTTTCTTAATTTTCGATAAGATGTAAATCAAAACACTATTTTCTGCTCTCTAAATGTTCTAAACCTGAGAATAAAATTTCTCGGTTTAAAAGATATCTTATTAGGATTAATTGCTAACTGTTGTCCGCAATATTCTTTCTCTGTAATTTCAATGTTTGATATCTTGTGATCAAAAGCGTCATAGATTAGCACTGATCAATGAATATTACAACTGTATAATGTATATATTAATTATTACTCTGTCACTTGTTATTTTAAATACTTTGGCTCGTATTTAGAACGTACTTTTATTGAGAACGGCGCGCATTTATTTCCGAAATTCTATAGTATATGTAACATGAACTATAAAATCTCAAAAATAAATGCGCGCAGTTGAAGAAGTAATATAATATTTAATACTTTTAGTCAATTCAGCAACTTCGGTAAGAAATTATATTATTGATAAAACTGAATAATATGATTTTTAATGATATAAGTCTTCTATTACGAATGCATTGAATCAAAACGGAGATCCAAAGTACGTTGGGATTACGTACATACATACATACAACTGCCCCTGAAAGGGAATGAGGGAATGAGATTGCGAATTGAATATATTCTTGTTGAATAGATGACGATGCAAATTAACCAGGAACGTTTTATTCTCGGTACTGATCGCCGGTGATCACTGGCGACGTTAAATAACTCCATTTAATTCGTCGGAAAATTAGAAAACTAAATAAACTCGTCGTAATGGCTTCCGGAGAGAATGTTTGTTTGAATTTTACGATAATCGAGTAAATCGTCTGTACGATTATCACGACGGTGTTCGACGATTATTTTTGTTTAAAAAATGCGTAATATGTATATAATATATATAATAGTCGAAAATCTCTCTTGACGGATTCAAGATTCTTATCAAATTATATTTGTTTAATTGAAATGATAGGTGATCATTTCGCAATACGTGCCGCGCGCGCGTAGTAAAGACACAATTTAAATAGCAAATGATGAAATAAATATATCGTTGAGGAAAAAAGCTAAGAAAGATTTCTTAATAGCAGGAGAATACAAAGATTATCCCGATTTTTGTTTTGGTAGATATTTCAAAGAGCTGGCAAAGGTATAAAAGATGCGTAAATTATGTTATCGCGTAGAATAAAAATGAGATTCGCGTGTCTTCTCGTATAATTAATTTTATAATAATAATCATTGATCCGTCATCAGGATTCCAAGGATATTTTCCAATGAAATGAATTGGTCGGAAAAATATAAATAAGACATATTTTATACGCTGCATCTGCATATCGCATGAGAGGTAACAGGACAGGACAGGGTAGGGTAGGGTAGGACACTCACTACTCACACCTCTTCTAGGTGTAATCTAGTCCGGTTGCACGAGTAGAGTAAGCACGAGCACACGTGATTCCTGATGTGAAGCCAAGTGTAAGAGACGGTTTGTAAATATTTGCTCTCTCGACTTAAACTCGACTTTGAGTTCAAGGCGAGTGAGCGCGTTTTATATGCGAGTAACGGGAGTAAAAGCGAAAACCTTGTACATATATACATTTTGTTTGATTATCCTTGTACTTTGTATGATTATCGCGAGTTCTCGGGACTTTAATTAAAAATGTAGGTATATTATGACGCTTAGTATTATAGGTATTCGCGGTAGGTAGCTCGCACCGCCGCGCCGCGCTGCATGTTGCTGGTGCTGGTTGCTGTCTCAAAAAGTATCAGAACTTATTACCTTGCGCGTTTGGGTTTGGTTTGTTTTTTCGGTCAAGATAGTAAATGTTTTATTCGTTTTGGTTTCTCTGATGAAAATACGTAACGATACGAAGCGATACGAACGCGCGCGGCGCGCGCCCGCCCGCGCGTACACACACACACACACACATTCCTATTATTATCATTTTTTACCATCGCATTTACCATTGTATTAAATTATCTATTTATTCTGTATAGGTTTTATATTCTTATCGTCCGCGGCGATTGCTAATGTATGTTGCGCGTCTTAATGTGTTGTCTTAATTAATAAACGTTTACAATCTCTTAACTGCCAAACGTTTTTACAATCCGAATATCTAAGCATGAAAACTGATAACTGACTAGCTAGGTCATATAACGACTAATTGTAAGGCTACATTTTGCATCATTCGTGGTTGTTAAAAGATAAGATCCTATATAGCTTTTTGCACGCGTCGCAGTCGCAGTCGCAGTCGCAGAAAGGACGTACGCGGATATATGTACGCAATTGCGCACGATATACATATATACATATTATATCAGACAGGATATATTACACGAATAGTCCGTCCGTGAGAATTAATCGTGAAGCCTTCCGTCGTTCCGTCGCGTCGCTTAGTCAACCAAGTCGACTTCTCTGCCTCCCTGCCTGAAATTTCTGAGCAAGGTCATATCCGCACATGCATATATCGTCGTACGTTTAAAATGTACGTACTCTATTATCACTGTTATCTTCAAAATGGCTCTTACTACAAGTGGGATACTTGGAAACCTTGGAATACCTTTAGTTAATTGTCGCTACATAACAGAGCTAGCAAACATACGCTAGTGCAAAGCACAGAGTACGGAGGGAATTAAATAAGTGAACGGAGAGGAGAGAGAGAAAGTGGCAGCAAGGTCGAGTGTCGAGTGTCGAGTGGCGCCTGGTTGAATGTTACACCGCGTGGCAGTAACAAAATCGGACAGAATTTGCGCGGCTTTGCTACTTCCACATATTTACTTTTGTATATATGTACAAGGTCGAGATCTCTCGTATATCTAAAATACGTCTAAATGAAATTACCATTTCTAAATTCCTCGACCATTTTCCTCTTATTTATTCTGATAAATGGATTCAATATAGTTTCGTCTTGAATTAATTAAGGTTGTTAGCTTGTTCGCTATCGCGTAAAACCGTAAAATATTAAAAACGAGAAAGGAATGTTTTCCTTCAAGCTCGATTAGATTATATCTTATAAACTATTAAAAGTATCTCGATACTTTGCGACGCCGACGTCCGGCCGCCGCAAGTCCATTTATTCTTGCCGAGTTTTATACATGCCGTTTTGCCGTAAACGTGCAAAGTTTTTTACAAGGTTTTTTTCCAAGGTTTCGCAATCACATTCCTGGTAGGAGAATATGTCAGCTGACAGCTTTCCTGCGAATTATGCGCGCAAGATATCGAGAGGCGAAATACACATAATAACTAAATAACATATAATACACGATCGACAATACGCGTGACATCGAGATCGAGAATTATCAAATATTATCAAATCGGGTTTAAACAGAAAACTGTGGTCGACCAATATTAGTTGCTAGAATTATTTAACAGCAGTTATATATCTATAGCTCTTCTTTCAGAACGGTATCTGATTTAATATAATCTAATCACCGCCGAATACTCGGATGACGCTTGAATTTTCTTTCGTAAATAATGTCTGATTAATGATTAATATGACAATATATTTATTGATTAGTACGCATTATTGTTATTGACACAGCTCTGGTGAAACGTTTATAGTGAATATAGAGAAACGGAGAGCCGTGGGCCGGGCGGCGGGCGGCGGGCGGCGGGCGGCGGGCAGCGTGCCGCGGATATGACGAGCCATTTGTGGAGAGCGTTGTCGCGGAGGAGGCGCGTAGAGGAGAATGAAGATACGAAAGACGAACGATTGGCACGAGTCCTCGGGCTGTTCGACCTGACCGCCCTCGGCGTAGGGGCGACTCTCGGCTTAGGCGTCTACGTTCTTGCTGGAAGCGTGGCCAAAGAGACGGCTGGCCCTGCCGTTTCCGTCTCTTTCCTCATAGCCGCCGTTGCGTCTGCTTTCGCGGGTAAAACCATGCACGCGTCGATCGTCCTCGCTATTATCAAAATATGTATATCAAATGTATTAAATAGCTGTACTAAGCCACATAATCGCAAGTCTAACGATTATAATTCTCCAACGAATTATATCCGGCTCGTGTGACCCCAGATTTCCTCGTAACGCGATGTTCGTTTAACTCTTTAACTTAATTACGTTATTTATTACATATTTATCGTGTCGTTCCTACTTGTAGGTATGTGTTACGCGGAATTTGCGTCAAGAGTGCCGAAAGCCGGATCAGCGTACGTTTATAGTTACGTAACGGTAGGCGAGTTCATCGCTTTCGTTATAGGGTGGAACTTAATTCTGGAATATGTAATTGGTGAGCATATAAGAACGCGCGTGTGAGAAATTAACGAAAAGATCGAGGGAGCCTAGACCGCCTAGACCAGCCAGATTTACGCGCGGACGATCTTTGGACCGCGATATATGATTTCATATAATATGATTTTACAGGTACAGCGAGCGTCGCTCGAGGTCTCAGCAATTATATCGACGCGTTGATAGGAAACGTCATGGGTAACGCTCTACGCTCCGTTATGCCTATCGGCGTTTCTTTCCTCTCAGAGTATCCTGATTTTTTCGCCTTCGCGATGGTCATGTTGCTAGCGATCCTACTATGCGTGGGAGTGAAAGAATCGTCCATCTTAAACAATGTGTTCACCGTCGTAAACTTGATAACTATCGCCATCGTCATCGTCGCAGGTTCGATAAGAGGTAAGCCGTAAGCCGTATAAGCATTAGCGATTAGCGATCTATGATCTATGTGTGTGATCACTGTGATCTATGAGTGACTACGACTATCACCTCACGTCATGAAACTACCTCTCGTGAAACGATGACGATTCGAGCGTTTTGAAAATAACATATGTAGCTAAAGGATGCAGCCAAGGTGTGAACCTTGACGATTCCGTCGGTCGGTCGAGGAGCGAATTCACCGAATACGCTTACAGCGGATCCGTCAAACTGGTCGATCGCGGCCCAAGACATTCCAAGTTCCGTGAAACACGGAGGGACCGGTGGATTCATGCCGTTCGGCGTCAACGGAGTGATGATCGGAGCGGCCAAGTGTTTTTACGGATTCGTGGGATTCGACACGGTCGCTACCACTGGCGAGGAAGCCAAGAATCCTCAACGTCACATTCCTCTGGCGATCGTGTTATCCCTAATCGTTATATTCGTAGCGTACTTCGGGGTCTCCACGGTCTTAACGATGATGCTACCTTATTACGCTCAGGTGAGATGATTCACCCAGTAGATTCACCCAGATTCACCCTGTAAAGTAACACGTAAAATCGCCCTTAATAAAAACTTGAAAACTTGTCGCTTGAAATCTTCTCGCTCAACTCTCGTTGACGTACGTGTATTCGTCGTATCAGTCGATCGTAATGTATAATAATATACGTCTGATTTGGCCGAGATTCAAATCCAGATTCCAGGCCTATAGGATTTTCAGGCTTTTTCAGGAGTAATCAAGCGAGAATTCGTCTCTTTAGAGCGCGGACGCGCCCTTCCCGCACGCGTTCGACGAGATCGGCTGGCCTGTCGTCAAGTGGATCGTCAACGTAGGCGCGATATTCGCGCTCTGCACCAGTCTCTTGGGCGCGATGTTTCCCTTACCGCGCATCCTATACGCCATGGCTAGCGATGGCATAATATTCAAGACTCTCTCCAAAGTGCATCCTAAGACTATGACGCCTGTTTATGGCACGGTGCTCTCTGCTTTACTTATCGGTACGTAAACGTGCAGCGTCTCGACTCTCGACTCTCGAGGCGTGCCACAAGCTGTAATGTATACATATCTACACACACACGCACACACATATATCGATCCATATATTTAACTCTTAATTACCTTAATTACCTTAACGCTGCTCCGTTCCAGGTCTCATGACACTCATCTTCAATCTGCACCAACTGATCGACATGATGTCTATCGGGACTCTACTCGCGTATACGATAGTAGCGATATGCGTCTTGATACTGAGGTAACGTTATTTCGATTTCTTTCGAAACGTAATAGAAAGTATTGCCTGTGATTACACGTATACGTATACGTATACGTATTTTTATGACAGATATCAAAAGGAAGAAAACACTAGCAACACTCCTGGGCGACTGCCAACGAGCACGTACCAATTTACATCTGTAAATTATACTATATTGAAGGAATTATTCAATTTGCACAATCGGAAGGAACCAACGGACCTTTCCAGCAGAATCGCAAATGCCGGCATTGTCTTGCTCTGTGAGTTTACGCAAATTAATTAAATTGTTGACATTACGTGCCATATTATACATATATACCTATATAATATTTGTGGCAAACGCGAGATATTTATATTACATATACTTATGGATGTACGCCAAGTGAGTCATAGGAATGCTCGGTCTGCAAAGTTCAATCGTTTCAATCGTTTCAGGTATCGTTATATGTATCATCACATTTCTGATTAATAACATGGGCGCACACCTGCTCGCGGGAAATGTCGCGATATCTATGATACTAGCTGTACTCGTGATTGTTCTTTTCTTGAATTTAGCAGCGGTTGGTAGGCAACCGGTGCAAAAAACTGAATTGTCTTTCAAGGTAAAAGATATTGTCTCATATTGTGTATATTAATTATAAATTACGATATAGCATAGTGACGCATAGCGATGTCGCGCGGCGGAAAATCTGATATCAATTTAATATATTTCTGTAATGCGTAGGTGCCTCTCGTCCCGCTTATTCCATGTCTCAGTATTTTTATAAACATATATCTAATGCTCCAATTAGACGTCTTTACGTGGATTAGATTCGCCACTTGGTTACTGATCGGTAAGTTCTGTCGTAAAAGTAAAATTAAGGCCTGCAAATCGATAATATAATTTAATCTAAATCAAATAATATTGCATTTCAATTCTTATGCATAGGCTTCTGCATTTATGGGTTTTACGGAATTGTTCATAGTGAGCAAGGGAAAAGAGATAAGGCGGAAAACGAAAAGTTACAACAAAAATACGTAGAGAAGTTTCGGATAGTGACATCATTTTGATAAAATTTCTTTTTTACGAAAAACACGAAAGCATCCTCCACAACAATGTCCGTTTTAGTATTCGTAACGTAAGAGCAACAAGAATGATAAATAACAAAAGCAGTGTTTATTGTGATATTTGTAAAATGAAAATAGCTTGCGTTCTTTACATCGATAAAATAGTGAACAAAATACTTTAAGGCTAAGATATACAATGATGTTTTTAATACATTGGCAATGTATGTACATACATATTAATAACTTTATGTACATATAGCCTTTTCTTACTCTAAAATGTTTTACTATATATTCTTTACTTTTACAATTTAACCAAGTATTAGCTATATGTAAGAAAAAATTAAGTTATTAACTATTGTCAAGAAGGTTTTATCAGTCAAGCGCATTAATTATAATACGAATTTACATGAGCTTTCTGCGGTTCATAAAAATTAGCGAAGTAGCTCTCAAATATTATCCGATAAATATTGTTACGCTTATTGGAATGTTTACACAATCACAGACTAGCATTTTTAATTGCATCGTATATTTGTATATTTGTAAGCATTTTGTGTTGTTTTGCTAGTCATTGATGTTATTATTATATTTATCTGCTTGCACAGATTTCTATGTATGCAATACTAGACCGCTAACAGGCGACGGCCATGATGCCTACCGCCATAAACTTAGGTCAAGCTATGCATTATACAAAGTGTTCAAAAGAAAGAGTTCAATGCTATAAGAGTAGCGAAAGGGTGCATTCCGTTTCACGCATGATGCACATAATGCATCATTTATCATTTTATCCTGTTTAATATTCGGTGAACAACAAGGATAAATGTTGCATTATGCGCATCATGTGTGAAACGGAATGCAGCCAAGATTTTAATATCATGAGCAACTGAACACCTGTAGTGACCTAATTCAATATGGTCGCATCCCCCACTACCACTTGCACCTCGCATCGGCTTTTCGGCTGTGCGTCCACAGATGTTACTGGTCTAGTATTCCATAGAAGTCTGTGCCTGCCTGTGCGTGTTATTCGTCATATATTCTAGGTCCTAGATATACTAGAAAAATAACAAAATGTTTATGCAATGATATTGTTGTTTTATCATGTAAATATTCGTAACTTTGATGCAAATTGTAACTCAAAAAGTAATTTAAATAACGTGCATGTATGTGTTATGTATTTTCTTGTATATTTTATTTTGTCAACTACTTAATTGTATCATCTCAACTTCTTTAGTACTCGTTATACCGAGGAAGAAGTTTTCAATGCATTAGAGTCGAGTAATTTGCCTTATACGTATATTACGATTATTAACTACAAATTAGCAATATTTATTATATGGAACACGCCTCTATGTTCATACATGTATACACGCGTGATGTTACATTTTACGATTAAGGCAATCACAACATTGTTAATTATTTCACGTTACCTAATAGCCTATACTTTAATATAATCGCAATTAAGATTATTTCGTTTTATTTACAAGTCCACCAAGACTTACGTTTTGCCAGTTTGCCTGTTAGGAATAAATAAAAATTTTATTTTTTCTCAATTAATAATATCATGTGGGTTACGAGAGAATATTGAAAGAATAAGAGAATTCCGCACTTTTTCTAAATTAATGCACGTGCGCTCGAATGATGCGATTATCTCGAACATGAGAAGTGATACCACTTTTATTAAATATATTGAGAAAATATAGTTATGTATCCATATTTATTTACGAGTTATTAGAAAAAAAAATAATTTAGTTTTTATTTGATCCCGTTACGATTTCACATGATCGTAGACCGTATTCTCCGTTTCTCAAATCAATTTTCAACCTGTTAAAACTTGGTCTCGCTACTTACTCCTATACCGGTCACCCATCCGGTTCCAGCTGGATTTTCATGAGTAACGCCAATTCTTCGACAAATAATGCCGGCTCCTGAAATTGCCCAAACTTGTCCCTGTTCTCTTGAAACGGATACATGGCGAAATCCTTGCTTAGCGTTTGCTACTGACATATCTACGAATGTTTACACGTGATTTAATTTCCAACAATGTAATGAGAGAGAAAGAAAGAGGAGGGGGAAGGGGGGGAGGGAGAGAGAGAGAGAGAGAGAGAGAGAGAGAGAGAGAGAGAGGGTAAAGGAAAGAACAAAAAAAGTGTATCTGATACCTATATGAATAGGATCGTTTGGCATAGCGGGTAATGTTTGCCAATGAGTTCCCTCGGGGAAAACATTAGGTTGTACTTCTCGGCGTACTGACAACCGACCCATTGTATCCAAAACCCATATCACATCGTCTCCCACTGAAATTTGCTTCAACTGAGCGCCTGAAGGTGGCTCGACATTTTGCCATTGTATACCTAAATTTTTGACAAAATATCAATTATTCCAAATATTTATCATGTATGTTAAATTATTATAATAATTTGGCTAAAAGAGGTAACTGTAGTTATTATGCATATGTTTTCATGATAATATTTTATAAATTTCACACCAGTTGGTTTTGTAACACTGATGCCTAGTCTCCAACAGGAGGAACCGTTTTTTCCAATAGCCCAAACTTGTCCACATGGACCGCACGATATGCTAATTAAGGGCTGATCACTTGGTATGTGTTCCCATGATACTCCCTATTTAATATATAAAATATGTTAAAAACCGATTTTTTGTGCAAAAAGTATCGCTGTATCGTAATGGTTACTATACTCGTTTGAAAATTAACACGAAATATATGGCACGTATATTTTAATCAATGAAACTTTGACGCACACGCATCTATACACGTGTCTATACATTAATGTTATACGTAAAAAAGAACAAGTGCAATTTAAATAGTCCTACCATTGGACAAGACTCTGAAACACCTCGTCTAAATAAAGCCTCTCCGTTTGCAGCAACCGCCCAGACATGAATAGGACCATCTGTGCCAGGTTTTCCAATCGCCTATTATAATTAACAGAAACAAAAGAGACATAAAATAAATATTCGTTCCGAAATGTTTAAAGATGGTAATGGTAAAAAAAAAACCTAAACATACATATAAAGAAACATCGACGAGTTTCGTATTTCCCAATTCTTGCCAAGGCCCGCTGGTCGTTAATTGACATCTTCTAAACCATCGTCTTCTTCGAACATAATCGGTAAATTGTTTCTTGCCGTGATACTGCGACGGAAAATCAGTAGCGTACTGCCACCCATCTCTATCAACGCCACCAGGTGTATGAAAGTCGACGATCCAATCTGATACCTTCAAAATATCAAAATATTTTTATTTTAATCCAAAGAATTATGTCGCAACAATAAACATTATTTCTTAATAATTTCCCATCAAAGAACTCAAGTGAATCGCTAGCTTCGACTCATATTCTCAAAACGATCCATTTTCTTTTTCTCGCGTCCACTTACCCAATGCCAATGCATTGACAATAATTTCGTATGCTCTCGTGTACATTTATGCCGTCCAGTTGCATCGCTCCACATATATCGGTCCGTTGGAAGTCCATGTGCGGTATATCCGGTCACTGGATTCCAACGTTGATTTTCGTATACGTAATAATTGTGGGTATCTACCATCGTATTTATTCCGGTACTGCTAGTTCCCAAACCTATATAAATTTATTTGACATTAACAATTTGCGTCAAATTAGAGATCGATTAATTCAATGCAAGTACTATCGTGTCCAAAATAATTGTTATAATTCTCTTTTCTTCCTTCTTGTCTTTTGTACAAAACATACACAGATACATCGTTATAAAAATTAATATTAAATACCTTTGAGAAACGCGCCACCCCAACCACCTGTGTATACCCAAGCAGTATTATTGTAACCGAAGCCCCAAGTAACACCCACGGAACACGTTTCAACTTTTTTTAAATGCCCACCAATTTGTCTCCAAAACATTATGCTGGGTTCAACAATTACCTGTATAAAATATAAAAGTAAAATACATATTTTCTTCATAATTGCGAAGATGACCAATGTCACATGAGATAAGAGACAAGTAGTTGTATAAATGATAAAACGTTTCACTTACAGATGTAGATTTATACGTGATACTACATAAAGTCAGCAATCCCTTGATACGTAGATGTGTAATACTGGTTGGAGGTATTCGATGACTATAAAAAGTATATTCGCTATCGTTAATATAAATTCTATAACCGCGTTCTTCGCAAACGATGTACAACGTGAAGTCACAGCCTGCTTTCAATGGACTACCTCCATTTCTTTCCTCATCTCCCCATTGACTATTTTGATATGTATTCCGTACAATAATATTTTCTTTGAGTCTTGGATTAAAATGTAAAGCAATGTCATGACTGTCTGTCACAGTCTTTTGTCTCACGAATGTTGTAGTATAACAGACGAGATTAAAAGACAACCTGAAATAAACAGCTATAGTTAACACAGTCTCTCTCTCTCTCTGAAATTAAACGAGAGATGTACAATTGTTAAATTTGTCTAATTCACCTGTCAGCGTCATCATGAACGCATACTATAATTCTCAGAGCACTACCATATCCAAAACCATTTTGTAATATGCTTTCAAATGGCAAATCTTTACCAGCAACATCCATCTCTTGTACGTATCCGTCATCAGATAATTGGCATTCCTACACATAATAAAACTGGAGTAACATGGGATTCTTTGCGATTAACGTATGTTAATTAATATAGGTGTATATCTGGAGTGTTTTACCTCTGCAATTGCAGAATCGAATACATACACATCACCTAGCGCAGTTGTGGTCCAAACGGAATTTGGACCGGGTCTGCCATATACATTATTCATCTGGCAAGATACTAAAAAAATAATAATAATAATAAAATAAAAACACCTTTATACATTACTCTTCTTATATAACTTTAATATGTACCGGTTATGTTTTTACGCGCGTCCTTACCTGAAGTTAAATGCGCCAACCAGTCCTCCATTTCCGTATCACTTGCAAATTGTAGTCTAATTACCTTTGAACGACTTAATTTGGGAGTATGAACTGCTATTCTTGGATTACCTGGCTCACTGCAGCAAACGACACACGTAATTTCCGAGACAGGAAATTGTATCTACAATATTATTATTTCACCTCATTATATAACATCTAGAATCGTGCGTTATAAATTTAGAAATATCTTCAATTTCGATAATCAACGTACTATGCTTGTTACGCCATCTGAATTTAATATTATTAAGGTCCCAGAATCTAATGATCCAGTATCGCTGCTTATCCATTCCAGTTCAATCTTGCAATCTTCGTACAAGCTGCCATTTTTAATTTTACATTTAGCATCGCCACTCTTCACCCAAGATGATCTACAACAAATCGCTAAGTAAGAAATGTTTCGTAAGACTGTTTCATAAAACTCTTATCGAGATATCTTTCACTTACTTTTCAATTGCTTTTTCATACACTATCGAAGAATCAAATGACATTTTTTTTAATCTCGCTTTTAATTCATCTAAAATGTTTATTCTCCATAATTCTCCAATTTCCCCTTGCGCTGCGCCGTTGCCATCGGCAATCCTATCCAAACAAAAATATTGCAAATTTACCGTTATGGCACACTTCTAAATTAATCTAAATTCCAATGTTAATTGTTTTGACTATACAAGACTACATTATTTAATATAGAATTCGACATTTTACCATTTAGGTGGGTTTGTTGGATCGACAAAGCATGCCCCAGCTTCCACTTTATACCACAACACATCACACTCAGCCCAATATATTATCCCAGCACTTTCATCTTCGCCGTACACTCCAGAGTCTCCAGTAAAATCTGGATCAAATACACTGCCATCTGTTTCTGGATGTGCTTCAACACCTACCATGGAACCGACGGAATGAACAGGACTCCATGCGGCAGGATTAATCTATCAGGACAGATAATTCATCATTCAAACGCGCTCTTCTCTCTCTCTCTCTCTCTCTTTCTTTCTTTTACGCCTTCACTCAGTAACCTTTTTCTTCATATCAATCAACACCTTTTAATGTCAATTCTAAAAGCAATTTTAACCTTGACAGTACTGCCCATTCCTTTTCCCGAAACGATTATCGATTCTCCACTTTTTGCCAAAGATTCGTTAGATATAGTTATACTGGCAACACTCGCTTCGTTCAAGTCACTTGTGTCTACAGAATTTGCAGATCTGTAACACGGAACAATTCTATTTTATTACCGTTTTTATAAATGAAAACGTAAACTTTTTACCTCTTTCTCTCTTCATTGAGATATATATCTTGGAAAGATGTTTGTTGAGTATTCTTTGTGGATGTGCCGTCACCAGTACGTTGCCACAATTTTAAAGATGTAGGTGTTGGCGCCGAACGTGACTGCTCTTCCCATTCTCTAATTAACATTGTACCTTCACCAGTACTATGAGGACGATTCTACACACAAAGACGAAAAACACGCTTGAAATTCAATTAAATAAACTCGCATCAAACTTTATTGTTACTTCGAGTAATTTCAATGTCAAATGATATGGACAGCACTAATATTCCTACCAAGGAACTCCAGCTCTGATGACGTTGTTGTTGCGGTGTGCCGCAAGTACTATGTCTATTGCTAGATGACAAACTAGCGTTGCTACTTGCTCTGCTAAGTTGCAGCGGTGCGTTTATTAATTTCCATCGTTTTCCTGTCAATTCAGAGCGTGTGATACCAGTACGATAATACAAACATCGATCGTCATAGCCAATAGCCCACACCTTTACGACACAAATAAAGTAAAATTAGCGAAAGAAGTGTGCCATGTCCTCTATACACACACACACACACACACACGCACACTTCTATTTATTATTCTCAACGTAAATTAAGAATTAATTAATTAATATCGTTACTTGATCATTTGGAGCAACGGATACTAATGCCATTTTGCTTAACATTTCAACCCAACCGGTTCCAGTGGCCAATTGTTCGCAAACACCGCTTATTTCGCCTTGAATGCCCTTTCGAAACCATACTCCACCATCATGTGTTATAGCCCATACGGCATCGGTACCGACACTAACTTGTACCAATCTCAAGTCTTTCTGCGGTGGTTCCACTTCTGACCAATCTTCACCTTTAATATGTTTGATAACGATTATCAAAGATTATACTAGAAAATGTAATCCTCAATGTAATTAGAATATCCCTTGTTTATTTACCTATTGGATTGTCTCTTGTCACGCCCGTACGAACTAATGCTTTGCCTACCATAAGTACAGCCCAAACCAGACCGGTTACTCCAACACTAATTTGACATACTTCGTAGCCATTTGCCAACTTGATGGAGCTCCATCTTTGTCCTTCGGGACACGTTGTACTTGTTCCAACGCGAAACATGACCTAAATAAGTTGACAGCAATAAATGCAATAATCTAACTTTTAAAATATTTAATAATTATTCAATTTTTAGGAAAGCTAAAAGTTGATGAAAGTTATACCCTTCCGTGAGCCGTTACTGCCCAAACTACTAAACTACCGGAACTACTTCCAGGCATCTGATTTCCGCCCACTGCTACATCGATAAAAGGTTCCTGAAAACGTAATATATATATGCGTAAATGTGCGCGTGTGTATATAGATAGATAAAAAATGAATAAAAAGACATCGTATTATAGTATCTCATTACCTTGGTTGGATCTTTATGTAGAGGTGCAATAGCGCACCATGAATTCATAGCGCTATATCTCCGATAACGAACCCATTTGCGTCTTCTTACACAAGACTTCCACTGTTTTTTTGTAGTATATGTAGCTGGAAAATCAATTGCGTATGTCCATCCCTATTAAAATATCATATATTCTCTGTGATCATAAGATTCTCTTTGGGGTGATGGGCACAACTGATAACAAATCTATACATAAACAAAATCTTATGAAAAACATAACAGTTGTGAAAAAAGCACAAAAAATATGTTTAATATGTGTGACTTTATATACTAAAGACTGATATATAACCTATCACATGGAATTTATGTAAAAACAATAAAGAGATGTAAAACAAGAAATTAAAACTAAATTTCTCAATTACAAAGATATCTCGGAATTGCAAGTAAGTTTACTTGTACAAGTAGCCAAGTCCAAAGTTACGCTCTCTCTCTCTCTCTCTCTCTCTCTCTGTCATTGAAAATGCGACAATTACATACACGTTCATTTTATGCATATTAAACGCGTCAGATTGTAAAATAATAAGATAGAGGAGGAAAAATGTAATACGGCAATACAGGTTTTATAAATATTAGGAAAACTATATTTACATCATGATCTAACGGTTGACCATCTAACGTTGTTTCTATTTGCCAGTCGCCTTCCCATTGCCATGCCATCGACGGCAATTTCACTTTGTCTCTACTACGATCAACTGTACCGTCTTGATTGGAAAAATTGTATCTGTCAGTTGGAAGTAGTCTTCCAGAGAAACCTTCCAAAGGCAGCCACCGCTAATGGTTTAGTTCAGTATTATTAGTAATTTTCATTTATTTATTCGCTATCGTTCTCAAGTAGAACATAATATCTTGATCACACATTTTAGATACGTACTTCATTCTCATAAGTTTCTTCCTTGATCCTGATTGGAATGTCTAAGCCATGAACGTGAACGTAAACTTGGCGATCACCACCAATAGCCCACATAAAATGTGGTACAGCTGACAATTGTTTAAATTCAAGTCCTAGGTACATAAATTCACGCCACATACTCCCGGACGTTGACAATCCAAAAACACGCCCTTCATTGTTAATGGCATATAGATACGAACTTGGCATTTTAAATCCGACGTAGCTTCACGCGCGTTCATCTGTAAAAAACGAAAATGATGTCAGTGTTTTTATTTTTGTAGAGATCAGTCGCGCAAAACAAATACACGTATACATACCAATCCTCTCTCTTTAGCGACTGCTAATATCTTTTGCAAAGATATTCATCACCGGGGCCCGATTACATCGGCCGAAGAAACGTTTTTTTCGTTATCGTATCTCACGTATGCTCACGTATACAATATGTATCTCGATGAGAGAGAGAGAGAGAGAGATAACCGTTCTTCAGAATTCGCAATTATCTCTGAAATTAAATTGCTTCTTTTTACTTAAAATTCTATTTTGTGGAATCTTCTCTTCAACCGTATCTCTCGTAGCTCGTAGCCTACGTCGACGTTACTTAAAGCAGAGAGAATGAAACTTTTCGGATTGGCACTTGGCTTAGCGTTCGTCTCGACATCGACACACATCGACATCAGCATCAAACATTGACAGACACAGACATTATTAGAAAAAAATGTCAAACGTCAAACGAGGATTAGGGCCGGTCTATAATCAGCCGTATATCGGAGATCGGAGTACGGACTACGGAGTCGGATCCAATCGCATCGTCCAATGAGGCAGCATCCCCATGGAGAGAGAATAGCGGAACCAGCGGAACGGAACTAAAACGGAATCGCTCTGATTGGCTAATCTCCAAGAGGGGGCCTTCAAGATGGGATATTAGCCAATCAAAGGAATTCCGTTTTAATTCCGTTCCGCTATTTCTTTCTCCATGGGGATGCACTTTTATTGACCATTGACTCCGCGGCTCCGCGCTCTGCGCCGTGACAGCTGACAGCGTCGATAGCGTCAAGCACGGTCAAAGCAGTTGAGTGTTAGTGTTTTCGTAATTTCGATATTATCGCTGATGGAATGGGACCCCCACCCGTAGTCACCGGAATATCACCCAAGGAAGGCCCACCTGGTACTCGGGTGATAGTGCGTGGCGAATTTTTAGGAAATAAAGCTCAGGACCTTATAGGTTAGTGCCACTCGCTCGCTAAATTTACACACGTACAATACATAGAAAGGACTCGTGCTCATATTGATATAAAACATTGGTACTCGTACTTATCTGCAAATAGATATAGATTTTACTTGTATGTACTATGCCTTGCACGTACAAGTACAATAGTATGTACACATGTGCAAGGAGGTCAAGGAACTATGAGTATCATATCCATATCATTATTCACATTGATATATTTGACTTATTCCGATTCGGCTTGGTTGGTCTGCAGTGTCTGCACTCTGCCTAACGGAGCTACAATACACAATACTAACACGATATATACGTACTCATGTCTGTCGCTTGTCGCTTGACAGGACTGACGATATGCGGATGCGACTGCCTACTTTCGGCCGAATGGAAGTCATCGAACAAGATTATAGCAAGATCGGGACCTTGCAAAGGTCGCGGAGATATAATAGTGACGACTCGAAGCGGAGGACAGGGGACTTCGACGGTACAGTTTCGCGGTTACCATGAGACTATAGGCCCGATGAAGGAGTCGGCGGTGTGGGTGGAGGAAGCACCTATGCAGAGTTTAGGTTGGGGTAGGAGGGCTTTGTCGCCCACAAACTATCAACAGGAAGACCCTTTAGGGCTCAGCGTGGAGGGCAACGAGTAAATCTCTAAATCTTCTGTCACAATGAGATTCTGTCGATAAGCTGTGTGTCGCGTCATGCGACAATTAATCGTACGTCTCTTCTTAAAGCAAAAAGTTTCCCGAGGATGAGCTGATTGAACTCTTTGGAGATGGAAGTGGAGATCTTACGAGCGAAAAATTTCATCCAGGATGGTTTTTATTGCAACATCATCATGCCACGACTTTGGAAGATTTAAAGGCTGGTTTAGCTTACCTTCGAAGAAAAGTCAACTCTCAGAAGGAAGGGCAATTGTCATTTTTAAAGGTGAATGAGCATCGAATCTCTAAAGAGTGTATGTCGCGTCGTGTGTAAAATTGAACGTTATTCTCAAATCTCAATTGTGCAAAACCACGTGTGCAGGCCAATGTAGGAGCGGTAGTGGAACAACTTGACACAATAATGTCGCTAAAGGATCAATTTGAGGCAGACGTCAAGAGCTATGGTAGCGATCCTACGGAGAAGTTGGAAACTGCTATCAGGCAGTCTATGTCCGAGGCTAATAAATTATTCGATGATGTATTAGCGAGGAGGGACAGAGCCGATGCCACCCGTAACGCGTTGGCTGTTATGCAACGTTACAAATTTCTCTTTTGTATGCCAATAAACATCGAGAGGAACATCAAGCGTGGCAACTACGATCTCGTAATTAACGATTATGCCAGAGTTAAGAATCTGTTTAAAAATACAGAGGTAGATGTCTTTAAAAGGGTATTGGAGGAAATCGATAATAGAATCAGTACGTTTAAAGTGTTGCTACGGAAAAAATTACAAGAGATGCCATTCAGTTTAGAGGAGCGCAAGAAGATTATTAGAAATCTCGTCAACCTCGACGCCGAAGGTGATCCGGCGTGGGACGCGATAGGTGTGTGTTTATCCAAAACCAATGTAAAGCTTCATTTGTTGTTGCTCTCATGTTTAATATGGAAGTCACACTTTTATCTTTACCATGATATCACGTGTAATATTTATTATCTGCATTATGCATCGAGAGAAGATAATCGTCTCAAATTTATATTCCAGTTTCACACGCAAATTATTTAGAGAAAAGCGTTGCCAATGCCGTACACGAGCATTTGGATGGATGGACGAGAATTAATTGTGAAGACGCGACTAAGGTGTCCAAGGTCCACACACCGTTAACTATCAAGCATTTACGCTCGCAGCAGAAGAATAACGGGGATGACTCACCGCCACAAATCTCGTGCGTCGAAGCAATTTGCGATATCGTGGTCGAACAGTTGCCAGACCTGTGGAGATTGGGACAAAGTTACTTCACAGGACAGCTACATGTGGCGGTAGATGTGGAAAAGCAAAGTCATTTTAAAGTGTGTATTCTACATGTCTTAAACTTATCTTTTTGTCGTAATATAAAACAAAAGAACGCGATAATGGCGCGCATTAATATTACTTGTAAATATCGCTTTATCTTTGTAAGCTGTATCATCATATAATATATACAACATATATATATATATATATAATTGTCCACGCGATAGAATTTAGTTTTATCGAATATGCAACACGCCATGGGAGCCATGAAGAGTACGTGCAGTCACAATGTAGAGGCACGGTGGCTTTTACATATTTTACGTTGCGTCAGACAAATGTACGCATCTTTGATACACCTGGATTTGCCTAGCGAAGCTCTCGACATTTTCGGATCGTTTATATTGGATTTAAGGTATATACTCGAACTGCGCACACGTGGCCATTCAATTTTAAATCCTTCGTTATTTATATATCTATGTCCACATCCATACAAGTATATCAATTTAACTTTTCGCGTAATATAGGATGCAGTGTTTGATTGCTCTCTTCAAACAAGGGGCGGACAATACAGCAGCTCTGAGTCAAAGGGAAACATGGCAGATAGAATACTTGAATGAGGATGGTGGTGTTACGAGACTGGTATATCAAAAATTGGAAATTTCACTGAATTTGCTGCTTTTACATTACACGGATATTACATCTTAATTGTGCGTGTTGTCATTTCATGCCGACAGCCATATCTGTTTGAGGAAATAGTTTTGGCGATATCGAGACATGCGCGAGAAACGGTAGTTGCTTGCGGTCCAAGAGAAGGTCTGCTTTTCAGTAATCCGGCCCATCAGATTCTCTATCACAATACTATCAAGACATTATTCGTATCGTTCGCGCGGTGCCTACAACAATTGGCGTTTAGTGGCTGCGAGGAAGCTATGGATAACGATGAAACGTCGGTTTCGCAATTGATCGGGTCGCCTTCCGGCTATAAAAACAAAGTCAATAAGCATCAAGGACCAGTAAGCAGTAACAGTCCGTAACAGTCCTTTTGCTTTCACATACTATAAAATGTATATAAATTTCTTAACAGACGTGGGAGCAGTGTCTTCTAATCTCGTTGAGCAATATACGATACACGCTAAATATCGTTTTACCAAGAATCGGAGATGCCCTGAAAGCGCAAGGCTACCCGGAATTATCTACCGCGGTCGGATGGAACTCCGATTGGACACAATTGGAGACGCTGGATAGCGCCGTTCTGGAAGCGTATCTAGAACGCCGTTGCGATCCACTCGTCGGTACGATAGAGCCTAGCATGTATTTAGGCGGTTTGGAATGGGATTTTGATACGGAACCGACCCATCTGAAGCCGTATGCCCAAGAAATATTGGCTAATCTAATTGCGGTACACGCGGAGGTAATAGATGCGTGTGACGTGGCAGCAAATTCTCTCGAGATGTTGTTATATCGCGTTGCTATGCTGTGATATATATATCCTATTCGCAGGTACGCCGAGTCGCCCCAGCACTGTTACACCGGATTCTGTCCCACATAATAGAGACCATAGCGGAGGAACTCGCGCGACTCATGTCATGTGTTACGCAATTTCGTCCGGCTGGAATAATTCAAGCTCGAACGGATATAATACTCTTGAGAAACGCCCTGCAGGCCTACAGCACGAGCAGAGCGAGGTAAAGATTGGGTATCGAAAATAGAGTGTTCTTATCGCTTCCGTAAAAATTGTGTGTTGAACCTGTTTTAAGAAATTTAAGTCGATCTTTCTCTCTTTCTCTCTCTTGTAAGCAGAAGCTTTTTCGAGGAAGCTCTGGACGCGATACCTCAACCCGCGAACAAGGAAGATCGCATGAGAATAGACGCTCTTTTGTTAAAAGTCACGACGTGTATGCGACTGCAGCTCTCCTGTCTTGTCAGCGAGGTAACGGAAAATGTTCGTTATTTAACGGCAGACCCCGAACGCGTTACCACTGTATGATTCATAACGACCAAAGTAGTACGTAATAACTACGGGGACGTTGTAATTGTTAAATTATTTAAAATCCTATTATCGTATTTACGTATGCACATTGGATGCGGTACATTGTACAATGGGCACGAAACGTGCCGAATCCGCGACAAGCTCGCGATTGATTTCCGTTTGATTGCCATTGTAAAATAGGCTTTCACTCGCTATGTGCTATAACCTTTTTTATTATATTTTCTGTTTCTTATATCTTTATTAAAGTTGAATATATTTCAAAGAATATTTAATATAAAACTTTTTTTCTAAGGTATATTCGCAATAGTTATTACAAGATAATAACGATGGAAATCTGTTTCCACCATTTATCTCGTACATCGAGTTGTGAGTAATTAGGCTTTTTCAATCAGTTGTAGTGTGCCAATGTCTCCAGCTAATAATACAGTGTCACCTGAAACAGAAAAGATAAAAGAATGCTATATTGTAAAATCAAAAGGAAGATAAGCATTAATAAAAAGAAAATCTCAAGTGGCGTAGATTGTTTTATACACAACGCAATATGAGAAACTTTACCCATTTGAAAAACTTGAGTAGCGTTTTTAGCACCAACGATGCAAGGAAGACCATATTCTCTTGCTACAACGGCGCCATGACTTATAAGACCACCCAACTCCGTTACAATTCCAGCCAATAATGGAAAATATGGACTCCAACCAATATCGGTGCAGCGGGTAATCAAAATATCTCCGTGCTGTATATTTTTCGCTTCGGACAAGTCGATTATCACGCACGCTCTACCTAGCACAGAACCGCCGCAAACTGAGGTACCTTCAATCTTTGTACATCCTTCATAGGCCGAGACATCGAGAGTCCTCTGTGATAAAAAGTACGTGATATAATCTTAGAGATACGATAAAAATATGTTGAAGGTAATGGAATTTTTCTGGATAGTACGATAGAGAAGTGACATTGGCTCGACTCGACTCGACTCGACTCGGCTCGGCTCTCTACATTTATAACAAACCTGTATTGGCACGGGCATGCCAGTGTTGAATTCCGGATATTCAAGTTTTGCTACTTGCTGATAAATCTTTCTTCTACGTAGTGCTCTGAAAGATTTCATATATATATATATATATATATAGCAATTGTTACGATACAGAGGATGAAAAGTGATACAATGATTATGATAATAATATAATAATAAAAGAAAAAATCAGTGTAAATTCAGACTTACTTTCGTACGAGTAATGAATTATGATTGTTCAAGAGTTGCCCGATTTCTTGATGCGTCAGGAAAAATATGAGATGTTCATCAGGTATATAATTTTCCGCAACCATCAAAGCACCAAGTCGTCTGTAGGCTAATCGCAATGTATGCACAGCAGATACAGTTACGTTTTTTGTCATTTCTCTCTTCGTAACAGCTGTTCGACAAAAGGGTACTATTTGCCGCAGGAGCAGCTTGACAAACGGTGACACGGGCGTCTTTAAAGATGCTACGGTTTCCTGCACGCTAAGCGTTTTACTCACGTAATTTTCTTCGATGGATGTTGCTAGCACCTGCAAAATAATAGGGTATTTAAATAATCTTCAATTCTCTTTGTAAATAATTCAATGTACCATACCTGAATCGTATTGATGATACTATCAGGTTTAAGTACCCAAGGTTCCGCGAATAAATCTAATTCGTGAACGCATCTGTGACCGTGCGTGTTGAAGAAAGCTTCTAGTTTTTCCATAGCCGGAGGGCAATTTAATTTCAACCAGTCCATAACGTTCGCGGTCTCAATTTTGCTAAACTCATTCGCTTTGCCGCTCTTTCTGATGCATGCCGCTATTTTGCCGAGAGCTATTGGCACTTCGGTACTGATAACATTGTTACACGAACTCAGTAGAATGGCGATGTCCGCAAGATGATCGGACGTAAAGTCATTGTTTCCCTTTGTTAAAAACGACATCGCTATCATTTGGAAAGATACGCTCACCAGGGACGCCATGTTGTGACCTTTTCCTAACTGAAATCCATAAATACGTAATTTAACGTCGTTAGTCGTTAGGCATAATTAATAGAGCATAATTCCTTAAGTTAGGCATTTTAAGTTGAATTTAAGTAAGGATATTCACTTGGGTCTTCGGATTCGGTGCCTGATAACTTACTAGGAAGATTTCTCCGTATTTCTTATTTAAGGTACTATACAAATCGTGAGGTGTATCAAATTCATTAGCATCCAGAGCATAATTGTTAAATATATCGATCGTTCTTTGCACCGTCGCTTCATTCGCCCACGCTGATTTCAACATTTCGTATAGCATATATATTGACCGCCATTTGCTCACGATACCGTATTTCTCTATCGCTGCCTCGTGCATTTCGGGCGACGTTACTACACGTCCGCACACGGCTAAGTCTATCATTTTATTCGTCATCGTTATCTCCTTACTAACATCTTGCAAAGTCGACTGAAAGAAAGAATAGAAAGAGAGATTAATTTAGACTCATCCACTGTTAGAGAGATTACGTAAACGACAGATGCAGAGAAATCCAAGTAACAAATTACTTACATCTGAGTAATTTATCGCGCACCTCATACCGACTATATGAAGATAAATACTGTCAAACTTGTTGAATTTCGCGCAAAGCGATAGATTCAAAACTTTCATAACCGTAGAGATCGACAGAGGAGTAATGGGATATGGAAACACTTCCCCGACATTGGCAAAAGACATAAGATCGACGTCGCAAGGTACTCCCGAGTCTAACTCGTGTATTATCTCGAAATCTGTCCATGCGTTAATTGTTGTGATAGGCCGCGCTTGCAATAGATAGATTCGCTCGCCGATAACCGCCCATTCCACATCTCGAGCAGACCCAAAAAGCGATTCCAAGCGCAATCCTATTTTAGCTAATCGCAGAGCGGTTGTATCAGATATCGAGATCGTCTTACTCTCCTGTTCACTTAGATCGCTCGCAGTTACGCCATCGTCACCAAGCAAGATCTTCTGCCCTTTATTTCCCAGCTCCAAGGTACTTACAGTTAGAGTGTTGTCCCACTTTCTACGAATCGTCAAAGTATCAGGCTCGACTTTCCCTGATACTACCGTCTGTAAAAAAAAATGTTACATTAGGACGATGTATGTTATTTACTGATAGTGAGAAGTACTTAATATTTTTACTTTTATATTTGTGCGTGAGCGTGTGCGCGGGTGCGTATAAAACAAATTATATATATATATCTATCTCAGGAATTTGTTACAACTATTACCAAAAATACGAAATATCAATTTGAAATTCAAATGAAAAATGCGATTGATCATGACCTCTCCTAAGCCGTAATTGGATGTAATAATAATGCTGGACGGATCCCCGGTTGTAGGATGTCTGGTAAACATGACGCCAGCCGCTTCCGCGTCGACCATTCTCTGAACGCAAACACCCATTGATGCTTTTATCGGTAGTCCGTTCTGCCGTCTGCAATCGATTCAAAGAAACATAGAAACATATACGAATTCGAGGTAACATTACAGAAAAGTAAATTACCTGTATTCGACGCTTTGATATGAGAATAAGCTTGCCCAGCATTTAGCAACGCATCTGATAACGTCATTTGCATCCTTCACACCTAAATATGTCGAGTTTTGACCAGCAGCTGAAGTTTCCTCGCTGTCTTCTCCAACCGCGCTAGATCTTACGGCGTAACGCTGGACGTGTGCGTTTCTTTCACTTGCGGACGACTCTAATTCCTCCAAACTTAGTAATATCGCTTTTGCAATTTCCTCTTCGACAGGAGTGCCCTGAATAATAGACACCGCCCTGAGAAATAAAGGACAAGTTTATTAATTACAGCCGCGATATATTTTTACACGAAATGTTAGACACGTACTTTTGACAGTAGGTTTCGAGGTCCTCATTCTTTTTGTAACGACTAATATCTATTATATCAGTGATCAAGTTTTGCAATTGTTCGTCATGTTGCAATTGTCGTTCCAGAGCAAGGCTCGTTACGCAGAAGCCTCGAGGTACCGTAAACTACAAACGGAAATGAATTTTGCATATGACAAATTTCTTCAGCAAGCAACAATGTATCCCACGAGTACGTACGTCATCGGTGATAATAGATGTCAAAGTCGCAAGAGAATATCCCTTTCCTCCGACGACGTCTTCATTTTGACATTGTTTATCAGTAAAATGTAGAATATATTTGTCTTTTTGCGCAAATGTATCGGGCCGCGTTATACGTTGAATTTTCGCGATCAAAGTCTTGGTTTGCCTTGGTCCAGTATATGGGTAGCACGCAATCATCAGCCCAACACCTGCACATTTGACAGATATGGATTCACGACTGTTTGTGGTCTTTGTGTGGATATAAGGTCAATTTAAATTTTGATAAAATGGCGAATTGTGAATTACCTGTGCTGCCGTTCAGTTGTACACGCAAATTACGAGTTGTACAAGTCCAACACCGTGGCTGGCCATTGTAACAGGTTATTGCGTTGCCTACCGAGTAATTGATAACGGAGCTGTGCCGTTTCCCAGCCGCTGCAAAGTGAAAGACAAACAATGGTGTACACGTGTGATGAGGTTGTTTGTACATCATCGACAAGCGGATACAGCGGAATAAAAACCTGTAAATGCAATTTTGTAGTTCATGGGAACCGTATCTTCTCTTTCAAAATCGCTCAGTTTCAGATCAGTCCAATCAATTTTGGCTATTGTCCCTCCAGCTTCCTCGAGGTGTCCAAATTGCATGCTGCAATGAATTTCGTTTCACGAATGATTAACGACGTATGATTTTCTATAGTTTTAAGATTACTGCGCGTATTCATTATACTTGTGTATAAAACTCCCTATATGATGCAATCGTAATATCTCGTAAAGGAGGCTAAAACAGGCTGGTGACGCAATGGATGTATTGGAAATAGTTGAAATTTCTCCACATAGGAAGCTTTATCAAAAACGACGTAACAACTTTACGATGATATCTTAACACGATGTTATTAGAATATTTGTTTGTCTTACTGTGAAAAGCTATGTTTGGTATTGCTCACACCAAGATAATACATGGCTCCGTGTCGTGTCACACCAAAAAATGTGACAGTTCGATGAAATTGATAAGATTCGTGTTTACCCCAACGTCGCTGGCAGAGTCCTCGTAAATAAAACTCACTCGAATTTGAATCTTTGAACGTTATCCGCCCGATAATGGATCCCCATAGATCGAAACCGTTGTAATCTATTAATTTACTGTAGTATCGACAGAAAGAAAGAAAGCTTAGGCTTAGGGTATGTTAAACTGAAACGAAGGAGTGTTAGCGCATAACGCGTCAACTACATTGACGTTGTTAACTTTTACATTTTGTGCATCCAATCAGGACTCTTCCATGGTTCACGTGCTAAAGCATCCGCGTGCAAATAAGTACTCCAGTCGCCTGGCCATTCTAACGATCGGGGCTTGCCGATAAATCTGAAAAACAGAATATACATATCTATATCAGGATGCATCTGTAAAACAGGATGTTTATATTCGATCAATTGCGCACCTCTCTTGTATTATGTACTTTTTTTTTTATATTTTGCAACTTTAATTTTGCCTTTACTCACATAAAATTTAGACGAATATGTTCCACATTGTCGTCATCGGATATATCTCCTCGACATTGGTTTCGGAGGAAGCCATTGTACGTAATTCTCCAACGTTGTCGGGGTTCTAACAACTCGATCTTTAGGCCCGATGCTGACCATTTTTGGCTTGTACCCTCCATCGTAATTGTATCGGGATAATCTGCGCATTCAAAACGAGTATCATTAGGGCACTATATTTTCGGTTATGTATTATGTAGTAATTGTGTCAAATGAATTTTACCGGGTAGTACGTAGACTCGGCCATCCGACAGGGTCACTTGCAAGATCAGTTCTGCTATATGATATCCTCTGTGATCCATTTTAATAAGTAACGAATTACCTTTTTGATCGGCACCATAGAAGGATACACTATCGCAACTCTGTGTCATATAAATGAGTTTAGAAATTCATTTCGCATGCGATTAATCTGTTCACGAATTACTCACTACTTACGCTCTCGTCCATAATAATTTTCGGTTTATCCGAGCATGGTTTCAAGAACTTTTTTATATTGGATATCACGTCG